ATGCAGACCACGTAACTGACAATTGCTTTGAAAATAATATTATGTTCATATGATCTGACATGCTTATGTTCTTTTACAAAATAACTTATACATAGTATGTGATAAACTACTTAGTTTAAATTCAGACCTGAATATAAATTTGTAAACCAAGAAACAAAAAGAAATCCATGTGGGAGCTGAGACCGCTATAACAGGAACCATGCATTTCACCCATTTTGCATGGGAGATGTGCAGTTCCCGCGACTCCAACTTGGTGTAACGTTGCCGTTAATCGAGACATAGTCATGCCGTCATGAGCTGACGAATAACATTATATTTAACAACATATTTTTATGTAATACGTCGTTGTCCCCTATAGGTAGACGTTTATGTCATGGCGCAAAATTTTGATGACTGTGTACCCTCCGACCCCTTTCATTATTCCATTACAAACTTTCGTTATATTAAAAGAGTCTAAGATCCGTCGAAGCCTCAAATATAATTTACAAAAGAACCTAAAGTTAGTGTTTTTGTTATTGTCTTACCAATAATAGACTATGGCTTAGTAAAAAAACGCAAACTCTACTCACCTTCTAACAAACACAGTCTTTCCAGTTAACCAGGATAATGACCCTTAATGATCCTTAATGGCATGTGTCACTAATATTCAACCCGTGTCTTCAATACTTTTTTGCAAGTGACGCGGAGACTAATCAACTATATATTCATACGCCCTAAAGCTCTATCCCATTGGGTAAACGAGTCAGGTGACCCATTTTCTTGGTTTATCTGCCCCACAGGGTCAATATTACTATTTCTACAGTGCCCAATAAAGCCTATTCACCCCTCAGCACAGATATATTTGCTCTAGTGCAAATAACTTTTCGTGCATTTGTTGGGCGATAACAAAAGGTCTCTGCAAACTCTGAAAACTTTTCTGTATGTCACAAAAATAATTACAGTTAAAGTGTACTACGAACATACTTCCAAAAATGAAACATTTATCGTATTCTCATGAATTGCTTAACGCATTATATCACATTGAATCATATCTGACTGCAATCTGATTGATCTTTCAAATTCTTTTAGAGGTTCGTCAATAGCTCTATGATCCTCAGTTATCTCATAATAATCAAGCAACTTTTTTAACCATTCGTGTGGAGATGATAACACGACACACGATAATCACAGTAATTTTAATTTAAGTACCTCCAACGATACTGTATAAATTTAATCACAAATAATAATCTTAGGAATATATTTCTCTTATTCGATGTGATGCCGAGTTATCTCCCTTCCATTGAAAGAAGCTATCATACATACTCGAGTTACCTCCTCGTTCGGTCATTTATCTGGCGTGTCTATGTGTGGGTTTCAAAATCATCATATCGTAATTCTGAAATAATTCAATCGCATGTGTTGTTTACATATAACCTTATATAGAGCATATGAAACTTTTGATATCTGATTATTTTTAAAATATATTTCCAAAGATCCAACGTCAGCAAATTCAAAATAAAATTCCTTGTCATTTTTTTTCTTTATTTTCTAATGAGTATTATTTCATGACTTTATTCATATTCTGCTTATGAAAAATAATAATAATAATAATAATAATAATAATAATAATAATAATAATAATAATAATAATAATAATAATAATAATACTAATAATAATAATACTAATAATAATAATAATAGTTGTTGTTGTTGTTGTAGTATATTATATATTTTTTGCCCATCTTTATTATAAATAGTGTGTGTGTGTGTTTCTACTACGAGAAATCCGACCTACTCAAGATGAATTTCGACGTTCCCATCCTAGGCAGACTAACAGTCCTTTTTAAATATTTTATTTTAAAAAAAAATCAAACATATTAATTTACCTACAAAATTAATGCACCTTACGAAAGGTAAATTGACAGTCTTAGACAACTGATTAATAATTTCAATTTAAGAGTACATGTACTTTAAAGTGTGTTAAACATTGCGAATTTTCCATTTTAACTAACTTCATCACTTGTGTAACGGTCTTTTGATGTGTTTGTTTGAATTTATTATATTAATTATAATATATTAATTATAATAAATCATGAAAGGTTACAATAATAGGAATACACAAATGACTAATTCCACACTTGTGTAAAAACGATATTTGAGCGAAATTTATTTTTGTACAGATCAAGGAATTTTCCAAGTATTAAAATAAAAGGGTTATCTATTGTATAGTTGTGTAGTTCAACTTTTTCAGCATAACTAAAATGACACACAAGACATGGCTGCATCCGGCAATTATTGACGGAAATTAGACGGACATGTTGACAATAGCTCTACTGTCAATATGTGGGGTTGGGGAATTATTGGCTAAAATCCATTTAATCCTTTCATCGTCTTGTCTTCATCATTATAACAGAGCAATTGATTAAAATACTTTTTTCTTCGAAGATACATAATATTCTCAATTGATATAAAATATGAAAAACTAATATTTATGATGTAGGTCCCTTGTTGTTTCTATATCAACTTACATACATATATGAACAGTCTCAGTCTAATATTTTGCGATGGTTACACCTATTTCGATTGTAATAAAAAAAATATGAAGCCTATAGTTCATGCTATACAACGCAATAGAAAATGTATATATCTTATTAAATACCACTTCATTTGTATGTGTGACTGATGCATTCTTATGAAAAGCTAGCGATTTTACCGATTTTCGTATCTACTTCCCTCAACACATTCCGTTTTGTTATGGTATTACATATTTCCATACCACAAATATAGATGTGTGTGTGTGCGTGTGTGTGTATCTTATTAAATACGTCTCGTTTGTCTGTCCGTGCGACAAATACAGAGAACCAAAATAAAACAAGCTTGATATAAGTTCAAATTGCATCTCAGCAGTCAAAATTGATCTATACCAAAATGATAATTGCTAAAAAGCACAATTAAAAAGATTTTTTTAAAAAAAAAAAACATTATCGCTTACAGTTATCAATTAAAATCATTAATAGAGCAGAGACTGAATACAATTTATTATAAACTTACAAAAAAATTCGAATAAATTCGTTTATGATAATTGTAGAAATTTTGGTGTTGTCAAAATTGATTCATTGTGGAAAATCAAAAGTTAAATATCGTTGTGTCGATTTTTTTCCTCTTCACTTCCTGTCTAAGTAGGGTGACTATTAAGTGGAACATATAGCTATAATAACACAACGCCATAGCCGTAAGTAAATCTCCGAAGTGTTTGTTTTATAAAGCATTACATTTCGCTTCTAATTGTTTTCACGACTGGGCTTTTGCAATCGGCCACAATGGTTGGAGTTTGCTAAAACCTACACTTATAGTCAATTAAATCATACACTCTGCGTGGTACATCTTTCTGAAAGCCACGAGTGGAAACTTCTAGCGGATAATATTGAGGGTTTTTTTTTTGGCAAGATGAAAAACAATACTTTAAGAAAAACTACATATGCAGACATAAATGAAAAGGAACAAATTGATCGAAAAGGGGAGCTAACCAATAATGATAAAATGTTAAAAGTGGAAATAACTAGATTACTGGAAAAACAATTTGAAAGATATTTACAGATTGTTAAACCTACCTAGGATTGGAATTCACTTTCGAATATGGGGATAATTTATCAAGCAGACTGGATAAATTTTATGGTACTAATTTTAATCTTAATACATATATTGACTCAAAAATAACAGATGTAAAGATTTCAGATCATAAATTGATAAGTTTAAATATTAATATCTACAATGTAAGCAAGTGGGGAGGGGGAAATTGGAAGTTAAACAATACAATATTAATAAATGAAGAAATTATAAAGAAAATTGAAGGGAAAATAAATATTTTTTTAGAAATAGAATATCACGATATCAAGTCAATGTGGGATAAAATTAAAAAAAAAGATTTTAAAACATTAGCAATTAGATATGCAAAAAGAATAAGAGAAATTAATAAAAAAGAGGAATTTATTTGAAATAAAACTGCATTTAAACAGATAAATATCAGAAGATACAAAAAAGATTTAATTATTAAATAAAAATAAATAGTAAACAATAGGAAAATGGGAAAAGAAATTAGAGCGGGGAAATTTTCATATATATATATATATATATATATATATATATATATATATATATATATATATATATATATATATATATATATATATATATATATATATATATATATATATATATATATATTCATAGCGATACGCATAAATATAAATCCACACATACCTACATGCATGCACTCATATACACTTGCTTGCGTACATATACAAATACACACACATACAGACATACACATATATACTTACATTCAAACAGGCACACAAATATAGAATGTGCACATCCAGAGATAGGTACATACGGACAGACATACACGCTTGTATACACAGAAACATGTTTATATCCTACATATAGTTACACAGACATATATACAAAGACACACAATGATACGGACATATACATGCTATGTTACACATTTATTCAGTCAGTTACTTAGGCAGACCGTGAAGTATGGTTACAATTAATGCCCAACCAAATTTCTCGAATCAGTCTGAACCTTGATAAATAAGTAAATACCAACTGTTATAATTTGCTTATCAGCCAGTCCCAATGCAAACACATATAACACACAGACAAAATAGTATACACATATAGCAGACAATGGGTAACACTGCTCTCTGGCAAAGATCATTAGAAGTACCTTTACTTCAAAAGCAGACGGGGTGGAGAAGTATTTCACATTAGTTAGAAAGATGTAGGATCCCTATTCAAAATTTATAAAAATGAAATTAGTATTAAAAAAATCCACTGTTGACACTTTCACACATAAACTCTTTTATCTTTAAGCGATAGGGGATTCCCGATCTGACTGGGACCTAATCCAATCACATTATCCTGACACCAGGCCGGCCAGTCCTAACACTATCCTCTTAATGCTGAGCGTCTAGTGAGGCAGCTGTTAGTACCATTTTTCAAAAAAGTCTTTGGTATGACTTAGATGGAGTTCAAACCACGACCTCCCGAATCTGAGGCGGACGCTCTAACCACTAGGTCACCAGAGCGTTTCTTTTAGATAACACTAGGGACCATAAAATACCCCACTCAGAATTGGATTTTTGAAAATTCTCTTTCTAAACTAAATTCATTTGCAGAACCTCAAAGGGGATCCACGAAAATATAACAATTTGTTCTGGCTAAGAAGGGGTCGACATCTGTCTGCTGCCTCCAGAAAAAAAAAATATACAGAAATAATAGTTCACAGATTGAATAAAATTTATAATAAAGTTATAAAAAAAACACGAATACATTTGTTTATGATGATTATAGCAATTTTGTTGTCGTCAAAATTGATTCATTGTGAAAAATCAAAGTGTTAATGTTATCAAAGGTATGGTATATTTTTCCTATATTTTCCGTGTGAGTGATGCTACATTCCTTTCCAGTGAAAATGAACAAATCGCATGTTTGTTAAAAATCAACCACTTTTTATAAATACGAGATGGAGACATGTTTTTGATAATGTATAGTGGAGGTAGTACTTTGATAAATAAATATCAATTAAATTATTTTGGATCAATTGAAATTTGTGTTACTGTTTTATCTCTTAGTTTATTTTAAGTGTAATTATTATAAATGCAATGGGTCCGGTTGAATTAAACGTAAAGCGTAAATCTGCCACCAGAGGTCTGTCTGCAGGCGTTTTTCAAGAACCTAATTCAGCGCCGAAGTGTTTTGATATCGGGATATCGGACAAGCGTAAATATTTGTTGTATAGTTGCCCTAAGTTAAATCCCCGGCGGTCTCCTTTTCTATTATCACGATAGTTACGTGGAAGAGGGCGGAATAAACCCAAAAAATTAAAAGGCAGACAAATCCTACCTGCTTAAGAATCAGGGGCGCAAGTCGTAGGTCGAGTAACTAGCTCGTTTCAGTTGTTTAATCGAACTGCGTTATAAATGCTATTGTGTCTAATTAAAACAACCTTTGATCAAGATACTCAAACATAACTGATTAGAGACAGCTAGGCAGCCAGGTGAACCAACAGACCATAAGTTCTTAGTTCTCAAATTTATTTCGGATTTTATTCCCATTGTTAGGTACTGTAATGCCTTCTATATTGCTGGAGCAAATAACTACAGTATAGACCCTGGAATGATCCGCCAAGGAAAACAAAAATGGGCATTTCTCTAATCCAATAATTTAAGTACAAACCGAAGTGCTTTTTTCGGAGCTTGTCGTTGTTACATGTACTTGGATATACATGTACATGATTTAAAAGACCACAACTATATGACGCTGGTTAAAAAGACCATGCTTGTACCAGTATGCTTATACATGTGGCTGGTTGAAAAGACAGTAGTTTGGTGTATATACATGTAGATGGCTTTAAAGATTACCACTATATTTATAGGTACCTACGTATGTATATGTACCTGTATGTACATGTACATGCTTTTTGTAGATCATAATTTACCTCTATGTACATGTACAAGCTATTTTGGAAATCATAACTTTAGGTATATGTACTTGTATGTACATGTACATGCTGCTTTTGTAGATCGTAACTTTATCTATATGTACCTGTATATACATGTACATGCTTTTTTGGAGATCATAACTTTATGTAAAAGTACTTGTATGTACCTGTATGTACATGTACATGCTTTTTTGGAGATCATAACTGTATATAAATTTACCTGTATGTACATGGTCATGCTTTTCTTGACATCATAACTTTATGTATATATATCTGTACATGCTTTTTTGGAGATCATAACTTTATGTTTATGTACTTGTACATGCTTTTTTGGAGATCATAACTTTATGTATGTACATGTACATGCTTTTTTTGGAGATCATAACTTTATGTATATGTACCTGTATGTACATGTACATGCTTTTTTTGAGATCATAACTGTATGTATATTTACCTGCATGTATATGTTCGTGCTTTTCTTGAGATCATAACTTTATGTATATATACCTGTACATGCTTTTTTGGAGATCATAACTTTATGTTTATGTACCTGTACATGCTTTTTTGGAGATCATAACTTTATGTATATGTACCTGTATGTACATGTACATGCTTTTTTTGGAGATCATAACTTTATGTATATGTACCTGTATGTACATGTACATGCTTTTTTTGGAGATCATAACTTTATGTATATGTACCTGTATGTACATGTACATGCTTTTTTTGGAGATCATAACTTTATGTATATGTACCTGTATGTACATGTACATGCTTTTTTTGGAGATCATAACTTTATGTATATGTACCTGTATGTACATGTACATGCTTTTTTTGAGATCATAACTGTATGTATATGTACCTGTATGTACATGTACATGCTTTTTTTGAGATCATAACTGTATGTATATGTACCCGTGTATACATGAAGACGGTTTAAAAGATACAGAGATGATAATTACAGCTGCCTTTGCAATATCTCTCGGCACCACCCCAAACCAGATACCAGAAAAAGCCTTTATCTCTAATCCAGAAACCAATTATTGTGAAATCTGAATTTTACCTTACAAAAGATGAAACATAAACACTACACCTTTCTGGATGTCCATTCCACACAGAAAGCCTTTCAGAACCTTTCATTCTCATGTTTGTAGATAATTAGCATTTTCTTATATTGTTTGCCTAATGACACTGTAAGTGAAGGTAATAAAAGCTCAGATAAAGAGGACAAGGCTGTCCTGCAGTCATCAGTTTCTGAATGATTCCATCGACTGACTTCAAATTGTACATAAATTAACATATCCTGTATGCTTTGAAAATGTTTGGAACAAAATCTCTACAAACAAAATTCAGAACGTCAAACTCTTTTGCTGTAGTGTGGCATCCTTCATATCAAACCAATCATATAAAAACCAGTCGTAGAGAATGAGGTGTTCTAAAGTGTCATACTTCATATCAAACCAGTCGTAGAGAATGAGGTGTTCTAAAGTGTCATACTTCATATCAAACCAGTCGTAGAGAATGAGGTGTTCTAAAGTGTCATACTTCATATCAAACCAGTCGTAGAGAATGAGGTGTTCTAAAGTGTCATACTTCATATCAAACCAGTCGTAGAGAATGAGGTGTTCTAAAGTGTCATACTTCATATCAAACCAGTCGTAGAGAATGAGGTGTTCTAAAGTGTCATACTTCATATCAAACCAGTCGTAGAGAATGAGGTGTTCTAAAGTGTCATACTTCATATAAACCAGTCGTAGAGAATGAGGTGTTCTAAAGTGTCATACTTCATATAAAAACCAGTCGTATAGAATGAGGTGTTCTAAAGTGTCATACTTCATATAAAACCAGTCGTAGAGAATGAGGTGTTCTAAAGTGTCATACTTCATATCAAACCAGTCGTAGAGAATGAGGTGTTCTAAAGTGTCATACTTCATATCAAACCAGTCGTAGAGAATGAGGTGTTCTAAAGTGTCATACTTCATATCAAACCAGTCGTAGAGAATGAGGTGTTCTAAAGTGTCATACTTCATATCAAACCAGTCGTAGAGAATGAAGTCTGCTAGTGTGGCATCCTTCATAAAAAGCAGTTGTGAAAAATGATGTGTTCTTGTGTGGCATCTTTATATAAAACTATTTTCTGAGAACCAGGTTTGCTTGTGTAGCATTCTTTGTATAAAACCCTTAATAGAGAATGACGTTGTTCTAGAGTGGCATCCATCATATAAAACTAGTGGCAAGCAATGATGTGTTCTAGTGTGGAATCCTTTATATAAAACCAGTTGTGGAGAATGCGGTGTTCTTATGTGGAATCCTTCTTATGAAACTAATCGTAGAGAATGTAGTGTTCTAATGTGGCATACCTCGTATAGAACCAGTCGTTGAGTATGAGGTATTCTAGTGTGGCATCCGTCATATAAAACCAGTTATGAAGAACAAGGTGTGCTTGTTTATCATCCTCTGTTTAAAACCTGTCATATAGAATGATGTGTTCTAGTGTAGCCTCCATCATATAAAATCCGTGGCAGACAATGAGGTGTGCTAATGTGGCATCATTTATATAAAAACCATTTGTGGAGAATGTGGTGTTCATTTGTGGGATGAGTAATATAAAATCAATTGTTAAAAACAAGGTGTTTTTGTGTAGCATTATTTGCATAAAACGTGTCAAAGATAAGGAGGTGTTCTAGAGTTGCCTCTAATATTTAAAACCAGTGGCAGAAAATGATTTGTTCTAGCGTGGCATCCTTTATATAAAACCAGTTGTGGGGAATGAGGTGTGGAATCCCTCGTATAAAACTGGTTGTAAATAATGAGGTGTTCTTGTTTGGTATCCTTGTGTGGTATCCTAAACCAGATGTAAAGAAAGGGGTATTCTAGTGTGGCCTCCATCGTATAAAGCCAGTAGCATTGGCATCTTTCATATAAAACCGACATACATACATACATACATACATACATACATACATACATACATACATACATACATACATACATACATACATACATACATGCATGCGGGCTTTTCTTAATTTGTTTTAATCTGATACGTCTAAACAACAATATATGACATTTTATTATGTACAGATGCCTACCGCGTTTGATTGGTTGGAGTATAAAGTGACTCGGGAGGTTTTTCGGATAATTACGGAGTAACGCGGTTAAATCCGGTATGAAATGGGCTATGCTAAGTGTGGTATGGAAAACATGGCCTACTAATAATGATTGCCATGCTAGGTCTCTGGTTTGGAATCTCTGTCCTACTTATATTGATTGCCCTGCTTCGTCTCTGGTTTTGAATCTCTTTCCCACTTCATTGATTGCCATGCTTCGTATCTGGTAATGATTAAGATGGTGTTTCTTTTGATTTGAAGTTTTAATGACTTTTTAACTTATAACTTGTGTACATACAGCTTAACCAGTTTCATTCAAGGCAATGATATATTGTTCGTCTTCTAGCATCTATTTGATTTGTATCTATTGGGTTGTTCCACGTTCTGATCATTCCTATGCAAATTAACACAATGGACTCGCCTACTGCAGTCATCCAAAACATTTCACTTATTATTGTGATCTGCTTAAGTAATA